CCTACTGGGTCTGTCCATATGGACATTGTACAGGAGAAAGTGTTATAAGTCATAGAAGGTAAAATACTGAGTTGTGGCTTAAAGTTCTTGTTTTGGTATTTTCTTAGCAAATAAGGAAAATATCTACTGAGCATCTTCTTAAAGGTTTTCAGGCACTAAAAGCCTTTTAGTAAGATACTCCTTGGTTAAATCTCTTCAGACTATATCAAAATTATCTACCTTTTCCATTAATTTCCAACTCTTCAATCAACTCTTCATAATTGAGCCAGTCCTCTAGTATATAACACATTCATGTGACAGCATTAGGAAGAAAAATCTACTTTTTATTTCATATAAACTTTTTATTGAAGTATAAGACACATTAAAAGTATATACAAATTATAAGTAGACAGATTTATGAATTTTCAGGGTGAAAACACTATCTACTCCGCATCAAGATCAAGAAATAAAATATGAACAGAGCTCCAGAATCCCACTTAGCCATTTTCTAGTTACTACTCTGCATCAGAGGAAACCACTATCATGGTTTCTTATACCACGTGTGTGTATGTATATGTATATATTGTTATTGTTTTTGAACATTATAAATGGAATAATATACTTGAATCTTTTGTGCTCACCTTCTTTGACTCAACTTTCTGTTTGTGAACCTCATAGACGTGAATGCATGTAGTGGCCGCTCAGTAATTTCTACTGCTATATAGCATTCAGTTGTGTTTGAAAACACCACACTTTTAAAAACCAAATCCAAAAAATAATAAAAATAAAAAATAAAGATAGAAACCATATCTAGGCCACTGTTGATAAACATGTGGAGACGTTTTAGTCTTTGGCCCCTTACTACTATCTCTCTATGTGTCTTTGGGTACAAATAAATATTTATTTCTGTTGAGTGTTTCACCTATGAGTGAAATTAATGGGTGATAGGGTATACATGTGTTCAACTCTTGTAGTTACTGCCAACAGTTTTAGAAAGATTGTATCATTAGTCATGCTTGCGTAATGGACGGTCATTATATTGCTCTGAGGGTATTCTCTTTCAGAAGACAGCTTTTAATGGGCAGAGAAGTTTCGGTCACTATAAGGCATGGAAATGACTATGGGGCAACTGAGAAAGGCCTCACTTATTTTCAGGCACAAGAAGGCTTTGCTAATAGCAGGTCTGAGCGGCTGTTCCTTGTTTCCCAAATATATAAGAAAACAAGTTCTTGCCACCCAATGGAGGACAAAAACAGCAAGAATTGAACAGTGAGACACTTGGTAAAGACCCTGGAAATCATATAAAGTCAGAAACTGTACAAATCAGACTGGACAGATATAATAGTCAAAGTGGGTTTATTTCTTGTCTTAAAGTTAAGAACTTAAATGTGTACAACTGACAGCTTGGTTGTTGTCACCAGTGAGATCTGTAATAACAAAAAGGGAAGGAAGTATCAAGGTCAATTCACTGACCTTCAGCCATGGATCGTGCTGGGATTCCTCCAAAGACCAAAAGAATCTGATGGAACCCTGTTGCTTTAAGGCTTGAAGTCCAGCAGGATTATGCCAAAATATGATATGTACAAGGAGGACTTCAAATCACAAAATTTATTATTCCCAAATCAACCCTTCTCCACAACCACACTCTATCTTTGATCCTTCCTTGCCAACCCCTTGCTTTCTCCTTTCGCTCTTCTGTTTGCATTAATTGTATTTCCAGATATGCAACTTGGTTTATCATCTCCTTTAGCCTCTGATGAAGTACTTTATTTCCTTGTCTCCTGAATTGCCTTTCCATCTTGGCCTCTTCCCCCTACAACGATAAAAAATTCCCTTCTTCATTTAATAAACACTTATTGAGGCCCTACTCTGTGCCAGCAGCTGGACTAAATACATGCTCTGGCCTAATAGAACTTAGACACAGCTTAGTTTAGACTAAGGGGGGAAACGGGACAAAACGTTGTCAGTTTGTCTTTGGGGGCAGAAGATAGTCAAAAGAAAAAACAGACCCTTAGTGACTTGGGTCATTTGTTTTCATAGCACTGGATGCTGAAGAATGGAGTTCCAGACTCCTAGTGGCTAGCCCCATGAAGACCTAAGACCAAGAAAACACTGTGACCCCAGAAAACACATCTCCCCCACCACTTTCTCCTTTAAATTTGTTAATTGTACCTGAAGATGGGGACAATATGTATGACAACTTTCCCAAGAGACAAGGGACTTCCTGAAGCTTTGCTCTTTGGCTGGTAGCTTCCCTCTGTAGGAATTGAGTGCACCTGCTGGTAGGGGGCTCATATGCCCCGATGTAGAAACTGCTCCTTTTTTTAACTAGTCAAGATTTCGGTGTTCAGAGTGAGTAACATAAGGTGAGAGGAATATTTTAATAGGAGTTTTGTTAAGCAAGACATTTCTGCCTAGGCATGACACATATTACACTTAAAGTTCACATTTCCAAAATGTAAAAGTCACTCATTTTTTTGCAATTTAAAAAGTAGTGAAAAGTTAAAATAACTAGGTGATAGTATGGAATTTTAATAGGGAAGTATTAAAGCAATTGTAGGGCAGTTGTAGGTTTTGAAAAGAGAAATGACATGTGAAAAATGCTCTGAAGTATTTATATATGCTTTACTGGTATGCTTGGAGCATTTTGGTTAATTAGGACCGTGGGCTTGGAAGGTGATCACCTATTCAATTCTATTATTGTACAGGAAACTGTGTCTTCCAAAGCATTATAAGGTTATGTTACTGAGACAGCAAAATCAAGAGTCCAAATCTTTTGCTGGCTAGTTTATCACTCTATATTGATAATATGCTTCCTTGAAAAACCTTCTTTTGGCTTGATCCCTGCTGTTGTAAACATTTAAAAATGCTTCAGAACGTTTCTTTTTGCTTAGACCATAGTGAACATAAATGAATGTTTTTTTGAATGTGTAGACTCTCACTGTGGAGTAGGGACATTTTTTGGATATCATTAACGTGCAGGAGAATTGACAAAATTTGAAGAGGGGCACCTGGGTGGCTCAGTTGGTTCATCGTCTGACTCTGGATTTTGGTTCAGGTCATGACCTCTCAGTTTGTAAGTTTGAACCCCGTGTCGGGCTCTGCACTGACAGTTCAGAGCCCGTTTGGAATTCTCTCTCCTTCTCTCTCTGCCCCCACTCCACTCGTGCTCTCTCTCTCAAAATACATATATAAACTTAAAAAAAAGAAATTTTGCTTATCGAGGGAAAGTATTGTGGACAGTTATAAACAGAATAATTTTTGCATACAGAGAGAGCTCTATCCAAAGCCCTGCAGATACTTGACAAACCTAAATCCAGCACCTCTCACAGCAGAACTTGGTTTCTAGCCAGAGAAATGACTTGCAGGGGCTATATTAAATTTATTTGAGCTAGAAAGAACATATATGCGTACTTGAAGTGTGTAGATGGAGACTTTCTGTCATTTTCCTGATCTGTAATATGATGCTACTGTGTTACCACCTTAATTCCCCTTAGAGCTCTTCAGCTTTTAATATGCAGGCAATAAAAATTCATCAGTCTGTCCAAGAATTCTTCCATTAGGCCCTGTTGGAAATTTATGAGGAAATCCGGAAATTGTGTTCAGTTCAAAGTAAACAATGCCAGAAAAAGAACTGTGTTATATATCCACAGAGTAAATGTTTCTTTAGGAATACTAAAATTTCCCAAAATTCAGAGAAGGCAGGAATTGAAGGAATCTTGGTGATAATACAAGGAGGCACTGAGCCTTCCTCACAGCATTATTTAAGAACTACAGGATAGAAGTAAAAGAAACATAACGTGATAGCATCCTAACATAAGCACGTTTTTGTTCTTCTGCTACAGAGGATTTTTCTGTTTAGTGACTTTAAGAAAATTCCATTAGCCTTCATTAAAAGAAGATATAACTGAGGTGTATCTTATGGATTCCTTATAGGCAAGGGGTTCATGGGAAATGGAAATAGCAGGTTTTGTGTCAGAAAATCTCATTTTGTTTGCCCTTAGTCTTTATAAGAATTGCCTGAATCAACTGATCTAATTCCCTTTGGACTGCAGTTCAATTGAGACAACTGGATTTTGTCATTTACACCCTTAGACCCAGAATATTTTAAGGGATCCTGGCACCATTCCAGAGTCTAGAGACCACAGCTAGCATTACTCAGCCTGCCAAAATTGGGCTCAGGGGCGGGGAAGTGATGAGAATGTCACATACACTTTCTCACAATAGTGACACTGCCAGTGTAGCAAACCAACTTGTATAGCAATTAACAAAAATAGATGACACAACCACACTTACTCTTTTATATTTATACCAACAGCCTCCTCACAAAAGGGTATTTTTCAAGACACTTCTGATTTGTTGGATTAAGGTATGGTAATGTTTAAAAAACAACAACACCACCTATTAACCCTAACTAAAAATCGTTAGCATTCCCCCCATTAAAAGTCCAGAATCTGTCATCGTGTAGTCAAAACAGCCTTTGACTTAATCTGCCATCTTGACGACTTGAGCCACGCTTCTTTTTTATTTTACACCTGAAGGTGCAACTGCAAATTCTTCATGAACTGTCAAGGGCCTTGACTTTCTCCGAGGGGTGCTACCGACGATCCAAGACCCACCCCGGCGTGCCAAGGCAAAGGGCCAAGGTAGCGGAAGGACGCCTGGACACCCTCGCCCACGAGGGCTCTTTTAAGTTCTGCTGACTTGGCCGTAGCCTGCGGTGTTGGGTTCTCGCGCAGTCAGGTGCTGCCGGGGGGCAGGCGCAGTTATTTGTGACTGCGGGGTGGAGACCGGCGTGCCGGGCGGAGGAGTAGGCGGGATCCGCCCCCTTCGCCGGCATCTCGCGGCCGGAGACCCCCGGTCGCCCCAGCTGAAGGCCCCCTACGGGGTACCCCAGGCCGCACGTTTGCAGGGGTCGCTCTCGGGCAGCATCGAGCCTCCGCACACCGACTTCTCGCGAGGTTTCGGCCCCCCCCCTTCTCTCCCGCCCGCTCCTAGTTCTGGTGCGGGCAGCTCCCGCAATGGCTGCACTGCGGAGGCTCCTGTGGCCGCCGCCTCGGCTCCCGCCTCCGCCCTCCCCTCACCATCCCTTCCCAGGGGCGTGGGGGCGGCCGGCGGGGATAGCCCCGGGCCCGCCTGGCCGGCCCTTCTCCTGCCGGGAGGAGGAAGAGGGGGCTGTGGCGGAGGCGGCTTGGAGGCGGCGGAGGCGCTGGGGGGAGCTGAGCATCGCGGCGGCAGCCGGCGGGGGTCTGGTCGGCCTCGTGTGCTACCAGCTGTACGGGGACCCTAGGGCCGACTCCGCCTGGACACCCGCCCTCGAGCGCCCCTCGGAGAGCTCGGCCTCAGAGCCGGAGGACCCGCCCCGCGGCCGGGGGCTGATTCCCATCCCCGTGGCGGCTGCCAAGGAAACGGTAGGTGCGTGAGCGCGTGCGCGCTCTGGGGCTGCCCCGAAGGTGACGCTGGAGGGTAGGGCCCCCAGGTGTTCCACCTGAGCTCGGGGAGGGGAAGTGTGACAGTCATGCTCGGTGCGCTGGGGACTCTGGGCCCCTGTGACACCGGACATCGGAGGTTGTGGCAGCGTGAGCTCTGCGGCCGCAGACGGGGACCTCCTGTGAGTGAGACTGAGACCTAGGCCAGGCGGGCAGCCCAGGGGTTGGTCACCCAGGTGTTGGGAAGATACAGATGATGCTGCCATTGAGGCCAGGACCTTAAAGGTGGCTGCAGGTACCACCTGCCAACCAAAACCTCAAACCAAGACAAAATAAAACGAGAAAACGGCCGCCAAGAAGTCAACAGGCAGAAAGTGGGGAGCTGGGTATTTAAGAGATAGGAACTGTCAGGCTGGGCCGGACAACAGCAAATGATCCAGGAGGTCCAGTGCCGTAGGAGGAGCTTTGAAGCAGTGGTCTGAGGTCTTAGGAGCGGCTACATTATTGTATAGCAGTTTAGTAGTCCCAAGGGTATTCTACTTCCGGCCCCCCAATTCGGTCCTCAAGACAAATTCTTTTAAGTATAGGACAGCACAAATAGGAAACTGAATGAAGGTAACTCCTACAGAAGATCTTCAAATGGAAATGTTCAAGTACCATTATGTCATTAATAATATAAGGTAAAGATGAGAGTAAGACAAGTTAGTAAAGGGGTACGATGTGGTTTTTTTTGTCCTATCAGTATGTTTAATAGTCATGTAAATGACTAGGAGTTATCTAGGAAAATTTCCTTTTTAAGACTTGAGAGTGTGAAGGGCTTAGATGACAGTAATTTAGAAAAGAGACAGCTATTCTGTTTTTAACTTTAATGAAAGGTATAGATGCTTTATTCTTTGCCCAAATATATGTTGGTTATATGATGTAAGTGCATTAGTTCTTTTGGTGGAAGTTGTTAATGCATTTAAACCCAGGAATCTACTGTATGGACCTTCTAATTGCAAATCACAAAAACATAGCATAAAGTACTTTTATACGATGAATATTTAAAATACTAGCAGCAGATACCCTCAACTGTCATCTCCAGCTTTTCTTTTCCCTTCCTCCTGATTGACCAAGACAGAATTTTTAATCAACCATGGTTGATCTGGGAACAGATTGGGCAGGTAGGGAGCATTACAACAGTATTTTCTTCTTTTTAAAAATTAATATTCCTTTTAAAGTTAAGAGACAGTATCATGTAGTTTTTAAAAGACCATGCTTAATGGTGTCTTTCTCATAGAATTAGGGGAGTTAAATGAGTTAATACATTTTAAATAGTTAAAATTGTAGTGAGCATTACACTAGCATATAGTGAGGGTTCAGTAAATTTGTTTTTGTAATTTTATTCATGTATTTACTTATGTATATTTATTATGACATAATTAGTGTTTGTAAAAATTCCTGTAGGGGCGCCTGGGTGGCGCAGTCGGTTAAGCGTCCGACTTCAGCCAGGTCACGATCTCGCGGTCCGTGAGTTCGAGCCCCGCGTCAGGCTCTGGGCTGATGGCTTTTTCCCCGCTCTGGAAACTTTTATAATTTCTTTTTACCCCTGGTATTTGAAGCTTTCACAATAATGAGCTTTGTGTGGGCATTTTTTTTCCATTTATTGTATTGGAACTTGAGGAATAGAATATGGAAATTCATGTTAAAAGTTCTGTATACTTTTCTTGTATTATTTCTTTGACAATTTCGCCTTATCCATTTTCTCTGTTTTCTTTTTCTGGAACCTCTGTTAGCTTGAAGTTATACCTCCCAACAGATCCTAATCTAATTTTCTATTCTGACTTTTTAATCTTTTTGTTTGCTTGCTTGTTTGTATGGGAAATATCTTTGACTTTATCTCCCATCTGTCCTGTTGAGAGTTTTATTTCAGCTAGGCTGGTTTTAAATTCAAAACTATTTGTTGTTCTCTAATGTTCTTGTGGTATAGCATTTTGTTTTATTTTTTGGCTGCTAAATTTATGGCTGCTAATAATCTATATTAAGGATATTAATTATAGTTTTGTTTTTAAATTCTGTTACCCTTTATGCATTGTATTGTTTCTTCTAGGTTTGATTTTATTCTTGTTTGATTTTATAAGCCCTCACTTTCAATTTGGAGGTTTTCCTCACATATCTGGGGTTGTTGCCTATCTATATATGAGAGCTACTCAGAACTATTTGTTTTGTGTGTGTGTGTGTGTGTGTGTGTGTGTGTGTGTGTGTGTGTATTAAAATGTTTATGCTGTCAACCTGTGGTCTAAAGCAAAATTGGGGTAATCATAGAAATTATTGAATATAAAACTTAATATGCTTGTCTATAAGGCTGTTTTACGATGTCTATTTGCTGATATATATACTTACAATTTACCTTCCTTTCTGTCAGTATATTTTCTTCTCTGAACTATTCAGAATGGATTCAGCAGCATTGGCTGATCATTTCAAGAGAGTTTGGGTAGGAATAGAGTATGCAGCAAGCACAATTAACATGCATTTACATGCAAAACTAAGTAATGTGCAGAATTTAAATTTTGCCTTATCCTGCAGATAGTTGTTTTTTTTTTTT